GGAGTAATTTGAACAACTTTTACTTTTTATATGAAGAAGAACAAAATAGTTATTATTTAGAAGAAAATTGAATGACTTAAATAAACTTGATCTGATCTAATAGTTTATAGCTATTGGTTCTTCTTTTATTCGATATCTCTTTCAGATAGCTTACTGAATTATTATTCTTAACTTTGTTTAACTCAAACTGGAGTTTATAACGAGACACTTTTATAAACGTAAATAAAATCACGACCTATATATCTCCAGAATGTAGCTTTATTAGCTCCGTATCTCACTGTTACAGCTTCGTCAGGAGATATCGATATCCAACCAGTTCACTAATACAGTTGAATCTGAAGTTGATATAGTATTTATCGCTACTGTTTTTGTTTAGGAAACACGCATATGTTCTTAGGTAGCTAAATTGTCATGTGTATCAACAGAAAAATGTTTGTTTTGGAAACTCGCGCAAAGCTACACAAGGGCTATTTGCGTTAGTCATCCCTAATTTTCACCTCATAGACTAGAGGAAAACAGATAGTCAATAGAATTAGCGACAACTCTTGCGCTACTCTAATCGAATAGTGAGATTTGACTCTTATAACGCATTCACAGTCACAAAATGTAGAGTGAGTTTTTGTGGCAACCGGATGCGAACCATGAATTATCGGACTTACAGTCAGACACGCTTGATCCAGCAGAAAAAGAAAGTTATTTCTAGGAACATGAGACGACACACACAATCAAAGAAACGTAATATTAAATCAAACATTGTTATGCTAGTCGTTGATGTAAAATGTTTACATAATAGCTGTAAAGTATAAAATCAGTTTATGCACCTGAGCGAAGCTTTAATTACGGTTTAGTGGCTACGGATAAATATTATTACGCTACAATAGAGATAACCAAATCTATTTGTATTTGTTTTAAATTGTTCTTATTTATCTTACTTTACATGACGTCCTTTAACATCAATGTTTAGTTTTTAATTCTGGATTACAATAATCATTATAAAACAAGCTTGTTTACTGTGAGTTCAACAATATTTTCTTTCTCATACCAAATGACTGGAATATTTTTTACTTGTATAACTCTTCAAAAAAGCAGTCTTATGTAAACGTCGTTTTTCGTCCACAGCGACTTTTAATAACGAAATAAAACATGTAATTATTACTGAACTGTATTTTCGAGCTAATATATATTATATATATATATATATATTATAAGAACTGAAAGCGTTCACCCTCGAATATTTTGTATAATTTCATATTTTCTGTTCATTTTTGTTCTAACATCCAACACTGGTAAAATTACACAAACTTTGGAGGCTTTTTACATAATTTACTCACTTCTCCCAGTTCATGTCCCTGAGAACTTTTGAAATTACCCAAGTTTATGTATTTGTATGAAAACGACAGAGTTAGGGGTAATGAATGATAGTTGTGTGTGTGTTTGAAAAAAGAGAAGCGGGAAGAAAATGTAAAGAAGAAGTGATTATCATTCTGTATGTATACCAAGTGTGCCAGAATTGGTACAGTTGCCATGGTGCTTGTCTAAAACAAAGCGTAGAAGCTTCAAGCAACAATTTAGGGTTACTTTTACAGCATTATCTTGATTTATATTGCTAAATACCCCCCTTCCACCACCAAAAAAGTTATTCGCATATCAATACAGAAAAGAAGAAGGGAACGTAAGGTGTTTTTAATATAGATTATATTTGGATGGATTAACGGATGCAGATTTTTGTAACCTTCTATTTGTATTTCTTTAGATGCAAAAAAAAAAGAAAGTTGAAACTATTACTAAAACACTGAGAGCAGCTTTACCCCATGACTCATGAATTAGCATAAAACAACAGTTTTACAGGGAGATTATACATTTTCGAAAAGATAGAAACTTTCAGTAGTAGCATTCAATTGGCGTTCACGAAAAAATTGAATGGTATTAGGAAAACATATAAAATACATTCGAAGATATATAAATGAATAGTATTTACCAATCTGGGGTACGTCGTACTGCTGAAGTCCGTTTCGCTGTTGAACATACAGTTTATCATTTGATGACGTTCTGCGCTCTCTGTGGCTAATGGTTGACAAAGGCCAAAAGTCAGGATCGTCCTTTAGTCGCCATGGTCCAAAAAGTGGTAGTGGGTTCTTGCTCTCAAATTGCTGCTTCAACGACGGGGAGAGATAATTTCTGGTGCGATGAAGGTGATAAAATCTCTGGTGAGCCCTGCTCGACGTTATTGATAGGGCCATCAGCAACGGCGGCAGAAGTGCCAACATTGGCGCTCTTCCCATCGGGGCTGATAGCAGAACACTACTAGTTACTAAGCTTTCTTCTGTATGTCTTTACGACGGAGAGAGGCGTCTGTTTCTCAATGAACCATTCCACGTCCCGACTCTCCTGACAGGTACTGTTGGGTTCAACTAGTGCGCTTGCGTCGATCAGAAAATTACAAGTTACAGAGATAGTAGCATGATCCAGGATGTGATGATGTTTTGATTGTGTTCTAAACCACTGTACTTCGTTCCACGAATTAAATCTTTAATTAATTTATTTATTTGTTTCACAGTAGCTTTAAAGCCTTCAGCCCCCTCTAACAGGAACTTAACAAGCTAATTTGTGTTTCACACACACACACACACACACACATACTGTCAGCCAGAGGCGTGTCCTAGTGTGATGATGACGCAGTATATATTATACAATGCCTATGGTGTGCTATCACTCCCTTCTAGATGCAAGTCACACAAGACAGAGTTCTATCTTCCCAGAAGGTACTCTGGACACCATAAGAAACAAGAGAAATAAGCGCGAGTAAAGAAATTCTCTGAAAAAATCAATCCTTCTTAAAGAAATATATATATATATAAAGTAGGGAAAATAAAAAAAGTAGGGAAAGTAGGTAATAAAATGGAAAAAGGCAAGGGTCTAACTATTCATTTTTTTTTCGAGCAATAATACCGAAAATATACATAAAGATGGAATAATATATTACGGGGGAAAACACCGGTTGAGGTATCTGAAGAGCACCTGAATTGAGATGAATATATTACTTCTCTCTAAATAATTCATGAGGTTCTCTGATAAACCTATGTTTCAAGTATGCGAGCGTAGACTATATAAGCCAAGTACCGGCTACAGCCACTACGAGTGTTATACCCACACAGACAGACTACTGCATGGTCTATTTACTAAGTTACGCCGTTGCCTGCAGCCATCAGAAGTTTATCCAAGATCCTTGTTTTCTGCTCGAATTTTGACAGGTCATGAATTAATAAAATATTCTATGACAACTCATTTCTATGTAACCCAGGAGTCTATTATATACCGAAAGCAGAAATAAACTGGTTTTACATCTCTGGTGTTTTAAGAAATTCAAAGAACCGTCCTAAAAATAAAAATACAAGAAGTCTATAATGTATAAATTCATCACTGAAAAAACAGGATTCTTGTAAGTATCTATTGGAATGAAATCCCGGAACAAGCATAGTGCTGAAACTTCCAAACAAATTTAAAAAACAAATAAAAACGTTTTATATCAAAAACAGAAATCAAACAATGAAGAAAAAGAAATCTATACTTGAATTTAGGTTTCTATTTGAATTTTTATTAATTATTGTAAGTAGCAAATTTGAAAAAACAACAACAATAGATTGTTTTTAAAACATTCAGTATTACAAATGAAAATGGTAATGGAGTACATAGGCCTATTGTACGAATTTTTATCTCCAACCTCCGAAAGTAAGTAAGCAATATATCATTGTAGAAGATTTGGTACTTTGGTATTACAATTTGAACGACACCTTATGCCATACCTGAGCTAAACAACCAGATCAGAGATCGCAAGATTGAGACTTTATCCTCTTAGTACACATTTTGTCAATAAATAGTAGGCAACCAGTTAACAGTTATCGCCGCTTATGTGGTTACTCGTAACCGAATAGCGGAACTTGCTGTTACTTTTATAACACTCCACAGCTGAAAGTACGAAATATGTTCAGCGGCATTCTGCAGTTCCAAATTTGGACTTTCCTATCTGCAGCCTGTTAATAATTCGGCCACACCCAAGCTAATCTAAAGATGGAGTTTTTCTTCTCGTATATTAAAGGAAAAACTCAGAACATTCCAAATGTTTTTCGTTACAAAACATATTTAAACATTTTTTTTTCTTTCTTATTGATCACGACTTAGAACTTTCTCATATCGATTGTTGAAATGTAATTTAAGATAGGTTTCTTCTCTTGTTTGTTAACAGAACAGTTTAATACCTTTAGATGTTGATTATCAAAGGTACTTTTGAATATTGGTTGACCAAATGTAACTAAAGAAGTGTGTTTAATATATTTTAAAACTATCGAATAGCGATTGTTGAGATGCAAGTAAAAGGGGCGTGGTTCTGAGTTTCTATCTTTGTTTATATCTCACCTTAAAACTTTTGCTCATTTTATTGTTTGCTTATGGAATCCTTAAAACCTTGGAATGTCAATTTTTAAAAGTGAAACTAAAAAAAATGTTTATTTTATTGTTAAGGAAGTGGTTTAGAACTTTCAAATGTTAGACATTAAAGTGCAACTAAAAAGTGTGCTTCTTCTCTTGTTTGTTAGCAGCAAAGCTAAGATACTTCTAATTCTGGTTATTCAGAGTGTGCTACACAATGGGCTATCTGTGCTCTGCCCACCACGGGTATCGAAACCCGGATTCTAGCGTTGTAAGTCCGCAGACATACCGCTGAGCTACTGGGGGGCAGCAGCAAAGCTAAGATACTTCTAATTCTGGTTATTCAGAGTGTGCTACACAATGGGCTATCTGTGCTCTGCCCACCACGGGTATCGAAACCTGGATTCTAGCGTTGTAAGTACGCAGACATACCGCTGTGCCACTGGGCTGGCCTGGTTATTCAAGACAACTAAAGAAGAAGCGTCTCTTCCTTTATTGGTTAATGCTGTAGCTTTGCATTTTCCGATGTTAGGTGTTGAAGAAAATTATTTTAAAGATGTTTTTTTCCTTGTTTATTAATGGAATAACTCAAATTCTTTTAGGGTGTCTTTTTGATACACTGTCATATCAACAAAACTGATCGAAACTATGTGAACTGATATTTCACTCTAAGTTACTTCACTCAAAGAATTGAAGTAAAGAGAACTGGTCCTTTTGAATTACTTAAACTATAACCCAAGATACGACGAATTTGGACTTGAACGTGTAGAAATATTTCTTTTGTAAGATTATCTTTTTTATAGAATAAGTAAGTATTATTAGGTTTTTATGAATATCGTGAAAATGGTCAAATGTTGATAAATATATTTTCCAATTTCAAATGAATTAAATGCTTATATGAAACATGGAAGTCTGTTTGAGGTTAAACTAATTTCAAGTTTAACCGTCTTACACTGACGTGAATCTTTATTTGTATAAAAGTTTATAATATTAAAATGCGTCTTTATTTGTTCTTTGAAATATTATTTGAAGCATGACATGTTATTCTTTTATTTAAATCACATTTTGTATACATCACAAAAGTAAGGAATAAGGTTACATTATGATGGGTCGGGCGTCGCCAAGTATTTATTTTTTCAGGACTGTGAATCCTGGGGCTGATGATACATGTCCCGTTGCTGCTAAAATGCGCTCCGGTCAAATCCTGCTATTTAATAGTTAGACAATAGTAACACAATAGCTTGCAGTAGGTTCTGCTGACTAGCTGCCTTTCCTTTATACTATCATTTTCAATATTACGGACCGCTAAAAGCAACAACCACAAAATAATATATTTTTATATCTGCATAACAATATATGCAATCTTCTTAAACAACCAAGACGCAGAATACGATACACATTATTAAACAAACATTGGTTAGAATGTTCTATATTTACTTCAACGAGCAAGGCACAGAAAGGTATAAAAACAAGCTTTATGCAACCTAACGTCGAATATGAGAAAGAGCAATCACTTTTATGGTAACAAGTACAATGAAACATTACTATAAAGTGAATAATAAAGAAATAAGATACTACCAGTTGTACTGAGATACTTTCTCACATTTTTTTTTATATTTTAAGCGGGGTAATACTTTACCAGATTTCACTTTCATGCAGCTGGATGTGCTCTAAATGACTTTGGTAAACATTGTTTCAACTAAGGCTTTGAACGTTGTAATCCATCTGGCTTAAAGTTGTGAGGATTGAGCAAAAGATCTTATCAACAGCGCGCTAAAGAAAAAAAGACAAATTACAGTTGAAATGTCACAAAGCACTTTTCTTATTGAAAATCGTAATATGATAGTTAAGAGTAGGAAGTTTAAACGTTAAAAATCATTGGGTATAGTAAATCGTTGGCTTTATTTAGCTATATACTGAGAGGATTTATGTGATGATGTTATCTGTATATGTCAATTCAGCCATTTTGTTCAAAAAAAGTTCCAGATAGTCTTGAAAAGATGAGGATTGTTTGTGTTAGATATTCGCGCAGAGCTTCTAAAGAGCTATCTGCGTTAGCCTTCCGTAATTTTTAATTGATAGATTAGAGAGAAGGCAGCTAGTCAACAGCGCCAACTGCCAAGTCTTGGTCTACTCTAATCGAAAAATTGGATTTGCTTGCTGCTCTTAAAGCGTCCTCAAAGTGCGGAGCGCGTTTTTAAGGCAATATGTTTCTAAAAGTGAGTTGTCAGATTCATAGTTCGTCACGCTAAACACTAAGTCACGCCTGAATGAAAGAAGAGGAAAAATGGTTTTTGACAATAAAAAAAAAGCAAAATTTTCGGACTTAATTTTTTTACATTCCGTATTACCTCTGCGATACATAACTGATGTTACTACCATTGGACCATATGATATATTGGAAAATTGTTGGTTATACTTAGGATCTATAATAGAATGTATCTTGTGGCCCAGTTTCTTGGATCAGGGTGGATCATTTTGAGCAAGGGAATCCTAGTATCATGAAGGCTTTGTAAATGCTCATCGTCTGATATCCCTAATGAATACTGTAGTTAACCACAGAAGCTGCTGACGATTTGTTAAACTAAGTCCTTGTATCGTGAAGGCTCCATGAGTGTAAAGTCAGAGTAGCCTGTAATTACAATACATTTTCAAGTCATATCGTAATAAATAACAAAATGTTCATTAATAGCATGATTTTGTCGACATCAATTGATTATTCAGCCTGCCTTGCTAAATATTTCACAATACCGCTAGATCTGAGTAAAAATACCAATTATTGACACAGCTCATAAACGCATACACACACATATATATATATATATATATATATG